ATAAAGGTAAGTAGTGTTTATTTGTCAAATTATCAAGTAAAACATAAAGGTAAGTAGTGTTTATTTGCATCAAGTAAAGCCTAAGGGTAAATAGTGTTCCCTCGCATCTTTTCTTTGTAAGTGGTGTGTTTATATTGACTTTTTAAAGCTGTTACTGTTAGTAATGTAGTAACATTAATCTTTTTTATCTCAGATTAATAAAAAATATGATCCCACAATTATTTTGAGCATGTGTATGAGTAGTTTTATGTTCCACTCGTATGCCTCATGAGCTTCTTTAATTGTGAATGCGATAAGACACATAAAGACAATACTTTAATGCTTTGATACGATACATTTAATTTGTGTGTAATTGTTTGAGGGAAGAAAACTCCTAAGAATTTAGAATAAATTCCTTTTTTGTCATAATACGTAAATCACTACATAGAAATATGAAGGATAGGGATCAAAATATGCATGTTTATTAGCTTATCCTCAAAATATGTAAATTAGACTTAATAATAATCATAATGCCTATAAAAAATGCTTTGTTACCAGTTATCCCATTAAAACTCAATAGAGAGACAGTACTAGTACTCAAAGTATCTATACACAAATGTGGAAATTCACATACAAAACCTTAACACACAAACACTGCTGTCTGAGATGGGGCTCTGGGGGCTGACAGACCCATTCCCCAAATACTTTTTCCTTTCCAATGTATAGTACTATCTACATCCACCCCTCCCCTGCACACACATGGTGACATCGTCTGCGCTCTTAGTTTCATTTTTGCAAAGTTTAATGAAGTTTAAAAAGCTTCCCACGTGTTACTCTTTTTGATTATATATATTCTTAATGACATAAAAAATTTTCAAAGCATTAGTAACAATTATGAAAATATTTAACTACAATATAAAATACATAGGTAAAGCTTAACATCTCTTTCACACGAATACACTAAGTTGTGAAAAATAATAAATACAGAGCAATATATATTTACTTAATACTCTTCAAAATCAAATATTATGATTACGATCTAGAAACATTTAGTTTTGACGTTAACCAAGCAACTCACCTAATGGTACAATAAACGAATCATCTGTTTCAATTATCCAGGAGCTTTTATGAATACGTAATTCCACCTTCCCGGAAACAACAATAAAAAACTGAAAAAGAAATTTACTTGAAATGGAAAGACAGCAAAACTGAAATGTTAAAGTTCTTCGATGTGTAAAAGATACATGCATAAGAAATGAGTAATTTCACCAAATTCTTTAGGTAAGTTGGCAAATACATAAAATTAATCAATACATGCACTTCACAGGTAGTTAATGCTATAAAATAAATCCACAAATTGGAGAGTTAAGGAAACACCTCCATAGATAAAGGACACATTTATTACTACTCAATGACATGTCTACCACTTTCACAACTATATTTCGAGCAGTATTCTGTGTTTAATACTTCTATTAGAATAAAAATTCCCTGATGTATTAATTAGAGAGGGTAATTTGTGACCTTCACTTTGAACGAGTACATAATGTAGCAGCCTGTTATAAGTATGTTGGTGCATAAGCGGTTGGTAGTATTAACCTTTAGTAAAATAATAATATTATAGTACATTGATTTTCATGTCATTCTTAATTTTAAACCATTACTCCAATATCGCAATTAACTTGATTATCATGGTTATTCGTTAGACATTTATTAGAATTAGGCATAGTTTCATTAATAGCAATACTGACTATTCAACAGCTGGCTAATTTTTTTGCGGATATCAAGATGATTTTCCTAAACTGTTTTGATTCACTCTTTACCATTATAGTGAGTAAACTCGCACTCAACCCCCCCCAAAAAAAAACATCATGTCACATGTGAAATTTATACTGTCAAAATCACCTTTGAAAGATAAAACATAGTTGGAAAGTTTTTTTTTAAGGTTTACGATCATCACCTTACCAACAAATCAACATAAACACATTAGTAAGGTTATTATTTACAATTCAATTTTACATTAATTTTCCTTATAAACTTACCAGTGAACCAGTGAGCACATATTGGGAATGTTTTTCTTCTAAAGGGGCAATCACTAAAATCCCCATGGAATGATTGGGGAGCTGGATGCTCTTGCATATTTTCAGTGGATCCTTTTTTTGTACAGGAGATCCTGATGGCCTTTCCCACAACAAGGTTTTGTGATTCTGAGCAATCACTGTCAAAAGTAGATTATATACAGATAGATATCTTAAAAAAGTGTTATAGTAATCTACAGGTATTTGACCTGCATTTTCTCAAACTATTAATCCAGCTTAGAATTTAGACAACTCATATACAAGTGTGTCTAAGTCATCCATTTTAGCACTAGCTTCTATGCTTAAGGGAATAAAAACTTTTCAGTTATTTAATAAAGTCAGTATGACATTAGAACTATTAAAACAAAGAATTAGAACAAAAAATGATAAAATATAACCTTAAAAATTTACAATTTTATTGTTTCATTACATGTCTTGTTTGATATCAATTATAAATATTAAGATAGAGGCTGTATTGTTTTTGGTAATCTTAAAATTTTAAAGATATTTTAATTATATGATGAGTAATGCAGTACTCAGAAATTATTTCTCACCTAGGCCTAAATTCAAGCTGAAACTAGTTAATATTAAAAATATAAACTTCATAATTAAATTTATAACAACAAACATTCAACCTTAAGTTAAACACAAACAAATTAAAACCCATATTAACCCCAACATAAAAAAAAAAACTTTTCACGAGTGTATCACACATAGAACAACTTACCAGCTATATACTTTCTTTGTTTTTGTTAGAGGGTTGATGCAAAAGTCACGCACTACCATTGTTAACTCTTAATATGTTTTCTGCTTTTTTAGAATAATTGGTTGGAATGCTATTATCTATGCAAGGTCCTGTTGTAACATTGCACTGTGATACCAAAAGTGGACATAGAAAAATCATGGTGGTGTGCAATAATTCTATTAAAAGGGTTATACGTACCAGGGACACCTTTTTCTTTGAATGCTACTTGTTCAATTTTGTTTACAAATTTGTGGCTTCTTTGATACTTTTTATCTAGAAGGAATATATTTCATAATAAAAATAATAATCACTACTGATGTACAAAATATATTACACAAGAAAGAGAACATAAATTATAGATTTAACATAAAACAACTTCAGTAAATGTTGTGTGGGTACACTGGACTTGCATGTGTACTTCATATAAAGAAGCAGAACCGGTTTAATTCATAAGAGAAAAATTCACTGAAATATTAAATATAATAGCATTAACAATGAAAGTACACAAGATATAATAAATAAAATATAGTTTACCAAATAGTTTTTGACACATTTTTGGTGAAATATCAGCATATTGAAAGAAGTTTTAAAGAGTTTCGAACTGAAAACGTGTAATGTTATAACAAACCTTTTGAGTTTCTGTGATTAATAAAAACAGTGTCTTCTTTATATCCTGGTAGAATACCTATTACTTCATAGGTTCCTAAAAAAATGGTTTACAAAACAATATGTGTAAATAAACTGTATGATGCGAGTGTATTTTAACAAACCTCAATAGAATAATAAAAAACAAACTCATGCAAGTGGTTGATTTTCAACTTTTTTTTTTTTTACCTTTGTCACAGAAAAAATCCTTAACAGAAAGCTAGCTTAAGACATTTTCATATAAATCTGTCACCAATTATAAATTATGGAAGTAGACTATGATATACATTTCAAAACTGCCACTGAATCTGTATATTTAGGAATATAATTATCTTAAGTTTACAACAGAAATAACATTAGTCTAAAACCTGTAACAATTCACTATCACGTATAATATGATACTATATGTATCACTTGGTTGGGTTCAGCTGTGTACTAAAAGATGTATTTGTATCTTATTCCAATCAGTAGTGAACAAGAAGAAAAACTTCATTCCAACAGAGTTTTGGTGACTTTTTTTTGTTTAACTACACCAGGGAAATTAAGGTTGTTCTCTGTTACTTATAACTGGGAACAACTAGTGTTTTAGGCTGTTTTTTTAGATCAAACATTTATTTTATCGTTTCACCAGAGGGAGGAGTTGGGATGTCTGTTTATTGTTAAGCGCAAAGCTACAGAAGGGATTATCTGTGTTGTGCCCACCACAAGTATCAAAATCTGTTTCCTAGCATTATAAGCCTTCAGACTTACCGCTGAGCCATTGAGGGCAGTTTTATAGTCAATATGCGAGTGTAAGAAATGAACTTTCAAACTCATAATACGACCCAACTCTTTGTATTTATCGAACATATTATTGACAATATTTTCGTAATTTGGGTCCTTGTTTGTTTATCAACATTTGTGAATAACATCTTTAAATGCAATCCACTCTTCTTTTTCAACTTTCCTTATTATCCTTTCAAACTGTTCATCCAATGTCAATTTCCTAATCTGAGGCCCAACAAAAATTCCTTCTTTAAGTTTTGCTTCTGAAAGAACTGGGAATTGCCCACATAGATACTTGAAACAGTCGCCATATTTGTCTATGGCCTTTACAAACTGCTTCATCAAGCCCAGCCCAGTTTTATGTGAAGTGGAGATAACATGACTTTCTTTGTGTCAACCAAACTTTCACATTCAATGTTTTTTGATCCTGATATCAGGCTGACTCTGCTTGGTCATTACTTTTTTATGCAGTGGATATAATGGATAAAAATAGTGCTCCTTCAAAGTCCACGCTAAAAAAGAATAATTCATGGCATTGTTGAGTGTGTTTTGAAGGGAGAAAGCATAAAGAAGTTTGAGGTTTTCATACGGTTCCTTCAAGTGAACTGAATGAGCAATAGGAACAGATGTATATATGTGATCATTGTGAAGGAGAACACGTTTTAGACTTCTTTTGGAGGAATCAATGAACAATCGCCACTCTCTTGGTTCATAGACTGAAGCTCCTAGCATTGGTATTAATTCAGCAATATTGTTGCAATACACCAGTGAACTTTATTGTGTAATGTATGGTATAAACTCTTTGTCATGATTTCTGTACCAGTAAAATGATGCCCCTGGAGATAGTAAGTTCTTAACCCAAAATCTCTGAAGAATCCCTTAGAAGGCCCAAATCTCTCACCAAATAATTAAGTTCACCTTGTGTGAAAACTTGTGGTTCACTAGACATTTCAGGTTGAAAAAAATCTCATTCACCATCTATATTGACATCGGATAAAACTGTATCAAGAGTCACCAATGGAGTAGGTACAGGTACATCAGGTCCATGAGCAACAGGTCTTATAGCAGATTAAAGGTTCTGATAAGATATTTCCTTTCTATTTTGAGTGTTGTAGCCTTGCACGTTACATGAGCAAGAATAACAGTCATCTCCGTGGTTTTTAGGCTCATGCCAGTCCATTGGAATTTCAAAAGGCAAAGACTTTTTATTACCTTTAATCCATTGTCTCAACTCTTTGACACAAACAGTGTATACTTTGTGTGGAGCCCATGATTTGTCTTGATTTCCAAGTTTTATTCCATAATATGCATAACAGACTTTTTTAACAAATTCTCTTATGTTTTGCCTTTGTTTCTAAACCACAAATATAACAGAATATATTTGGTCATTTACACAACCTCTTGTTACCATAGTGATGAATAAATAATATTGAAAAGAAAAATAATGTCAAAGTGCATGTACAAACAAATACTATCCAGAAATGACACGTTATGCACCCTGTTAACTGTTTATCTAATAGCGGTGTGTTTCTTGTGGGTTCTATGATGATAAGACTCTCGCATCATGATTGGTCTAGAGAAATCTATAGCCAGTGGTTGTCAACATTTTAAGCATAACAAAATATGACTCAATTTCAATGAAAATGATTCACTTATGTAAAAGTAAATAATAAAAAAAAAAACCTGTACGTGATGGAGAAAAATGGATATCATTTTCAGATTCAGCACACAGGAATAACTGTAGAACAGTAAAAAGTTCAAGACAATAAAACCATCGTAGGCCTGTGTTATTGTGTCAGCCAATTAGTTTAGTGTTCTAAGTTTTGAGTTTACATTTTCAACAAAATACTACATATATAATAATAATTATAGTATGCATGAGAAAATTATCTAGTGGAATTTGTATTGAGACATTATTTGCTTATGAAGTTAGGCTTATTGTTAGTAGGTGGAACTTGTACAAGTTCTACAATTTGTAGCCAGAGAAATAAAATTCTCTAATTATCCTTAAGTGGGCTGAGCTTTGCATTCTTCTTTTTTACTAAATCATTCAACAAAGAACAAGTGAAACAAAAGCAACCTTTACAAACAGAGAAGTGTGCTGTTAGGCATCACATAGCATACAGAACTGCTTTTCAAAAACCAACCATGGTTCAGGTTGCATCATTATCTGTTCTGCAAACTATAGGACATAATACAGTTCTTTCAAAGGTTTTTATAAAACAGTCTGTAATAGAGAAACATGTATTTGTTTCCTGATGACAGTGAAATATAAGATCACCTAATCATAAAAATACAAGCTTTTACTATTTTTTACTACTGGGTAATATCACTACTGGTATTGTAGACTCATACAACTGCTGACTACTTTACCTTCCGATGTTCGTCTGTAATGAACACGTTCATTCCTCCAAAATGCCACTGGTTTTACGCTTGTGCGTTTTGATTCTCTTTTGAAAAGTTTAGGAGATCCTTCTGGGTTACATATACCTTCTTTGGGTTTTGTTTTCTGCAAACATGAAACTAAAGGAAATGAAAAAAAATATCTGCTATCATAGATAGATTTAAAAAGTACCTAATAATCTATTCACATATTAAAGTTAACATCTTCCTGCAATTGTAATATATCAGAAAAAGTATTATTTAGAGATAAGGTCACTACAGAACACAAACAGAAAGTTATATTAAGAAGCTGGAGGTGTGCATTTTGGATCAACTGTAACTCATGTGCGAGGTTCATTTTGGCAAGGTCAAAGCCTAGATGTTTGGCTGCATCTCCCAGTTACTATAGCGCACAGACATGAAGTCATATACAGAATACATTTTGACACTGTCCTGACATTATGACACTTGGTTACTATTGATGAAAAAAGTTATACATACTTTTATGATATGGAATGTGTTCTAAACATATAAAACAGAGTACAAATCTGACTAAATGATTTTGACATGTTTATGGCTCAGTTTGTTAGGTTAGCCCATGAGTCATTTTTAAATTTAACTGAACATTGTTAAAACTTTATTTAAACAAACATATAAACAAAAACAGACAGTTGCCATAAACAAAACAAGATACAGACCTGCATACTGCTGCAACATGAGGTATTTAGTAATCTGAGTTTATTTAGATTTTCAAAACTAGTATTGGATACTTGATGTGCGAGCACACACCACATCCATAGGGACTTCAGAACCTCTTGGAAAATAACATAATGTTTACGGCCATATGGTCGATATACAATTGGCTCTTTTCCTACACTTATGCATGCGCCATAAATCGGGAGAACAGTTTTGAAGCATCATTTGTAGTCCTGGTCCACAACAGCTTCTTCAATTCTATAGTGCACAACTATGTGCACTGCAGCACTTAAGTGGTTTGAAAAAGGAAAGAGTGGGTGGGAGTAGATGAACTCCACAGGTGTATTTGTGTTCGCTCAGTGATAAAGTTAATGCAATCCTGTGTCTTTTTTGAGAGTTTTTGTTTACATTACATTGCTCATGGTTTTCTACATTCTATGCACTAGTCTGAAGTTCTAGCATTTTGTGCTGTGTACAGAGCACTGTCGACAATATCGTCAGGTGGAGGCGCTTTTAGTGTGTTACTCTCATCTATCTGTCGTTTTGAAGTCGATGGGACCTCTTGCTCCATATTAGGCATATTCTCCTTCTGTCCAACAATTACTTGTTGTTGAAAATAATTTGTTTGCTTTTTTATTTTGGCTTTAGGTTTGTGCAGTGAGGGCCTATCCTACTCAGTTGTCTCTTCTGTGTTTACAGTGTTGTACTTCTGGTAGTATTCACCAGTACTATCTAGGACTGGATCTGGCAGCCAAGTCAATTTTGACCTATTGAGATGTGGTGATGTACTACAGGTTGCATCTTCACATCTAGTAACTGTAGTGGCAGACTCGACAGTGCTTGACTCGACTGTCCAATATAGACTGAACAGGTGTAATAGATTCTTGCCATTGTTGCTTCAATTTAGGGTGTCAGCACAGCTGCTCTGATGTCAGCTATATTTCCACACTTCTACATGTTTACCTACTGATCAACTTCTCGTCTTTCTAAAGCACAGTTTCGGATACAGCATGGACATAACCCTCTTTCCAACATTAGTGTAGCTGTGTCCAGGTGCACATATTGCAAGAATAAACATATTGAGATTTAGTTCTTTAAATATGCAGATACTGGCACATTTGATGATGAAATGTTTGACACTGCCTGAATGGAAGCCGAGCTGTAATTGGCTGAGAGCGTTCACACACCACACCAACTAACAAATTAGAGACACGGTTTCTCATGACCTTCACCTTGCAAAATATGGTAGCAGATTGGTGCAATAATTAATGAAATAAAAAATTAATTGACGGGTGTTTTTTATTAGGATCAGTCAAGAGATTAATTTATTTTGGGGGGGAGAACATTGAAAACATTTAGGGTCGGGCATTTTTACATAGGGTCAGTCAAAAAAGATGAAATTCCTCAAACAAAGTTAAATTCCTCAGGAATGTAATATTTCAATTCCTGACCTGTGAACTAATTAGTTATATTTTTACATATGTGCTGATAAACATTTATAAATAAAACAAACAACTAAATGTTTCATACATTTTGTGCTTATTGGCAAAAAGATTATTTCACAGAGTGCATGTGAACATATATAAAAGACACTGAAACTTATATTCTAAACATTATGGTATGTAATATTTATACAATCCTTTTAACTGACCATTCAGTAACCTAAATTAACATTATATACACATCACCATTATAATAGGCCTTAATGTGTTTCTTTGGTTTGCTGACCAAAACTGTGCTGACGAGCCTTAAATAGGTGAAACCGAAGTTCACAGCAGAAAGCAAAGAATACATTAGGTTTTTATGCCACAGATTACATTTTTAATTTTACCTTTAGTGAAAATAAAATCACTGAGTAATATCATCATCAAACAGTTGGCCCACTGTATAATACCAAATACATTTGGCACAATGCCCCAATACTATTCACAAAGTTAAATTAATTTATTTGACTAAATGATGAGTTTAAAGGATTTAAAACTCCATAAATATTATATACACACGCCACCATTACAAGTTCTTACTGTATTTCTTTGATTTGTTATTGAGCCTTGAATAGGTGAAACTGCACTCAACAACAAAAGGTACAGTGAATCAAGGAATATATTAAGCCTACATGACATATATATTTTCAATATTACCTTTGGTTAAAAAAAATAAAGCTGTAACATCATTATGGTGTAGCTTCACTACCAACACCACAAACAGTTTGAATATGTTATGTTCAGCAAAACACAAATTCATATTGTATAATAAACACATTTCACAGGCTGAATTCTTTGACACAATTAGACGTACTAAATAAATAGATACATAAAAATCACTAAACAAAAAAATCTTTTTGTAACAAATGTCATCATTTGATAAGCCAACTTTTGAATTTTATTTTTGCAAAATAATATATAACAAAAAGAGATATAATTAATAACTAGAAGGAAAAACTCATGCTTCACTTAAGAAACTTTTTTGGTTTTGGTATTTTGTATTTGATTGCACAAAATTTATACAACATAAAGGCAGTGCTGTGTATTTAAAATAATTAAATGACATGCCCAGACTACTCATGTATGAGGTCAGGAACATAGAGTTCTGAATGAATTTGATGGTCTTGCAGGGCATCTCAACAACTGCGAGGTTATACCAATATGAGATAAATCTATTGTACAATATGTGATACCCACCTAACAATTTTATTACACCAGATCTAGCAATGCTTTCAAAACCTCAGTATCAGAAGCAGGATAGTTAGCTTTCCCAATCGGGAGTGCATGATCCATCTGTATTCCTTTAGTTATGACCAATGAAAATTAACATATTACATGGAATAAATAAAAAACAAAATTCATGAGGAAATGCAACTTTACACGAGGGAATGTAATCTTCCCGATAGCTTTCCCTCCAATTTGTTTCATCATTTCTATCCCTGTTGGTTACAGAAAGAACTAAGACAAGTTTTCAGAATTTCATCATTTTCTCTTCACGACACTTCTTTTGTATATCGAGTGAGTAAACAAAATACTGAACATCACAAGTTTCTTATTTTACTTCTTATCTATAATAATTATTTATGGAAAAAATTCTGTAATCTTGTTAGGTAACTTTTTTAATAGACTAAAAAAAGTTTAATCTAATCCTGATATATATATATTTTTTTTCACTTTGGCAGGTAATGCATACAGCCTGAAAAATCTCTCCCAAGAAAAAGCTAAACTCATCTTCTTTGATATTAAGAGGAATTCACCAGTAGGAGAAACAGTTGTTTGAACTAATAAATCTCTGATAGAGTATTTATATATTTTTCTATAACCTTTGTGTTTAATAATTCAGTTACATATCCATCACAGTAAGCCAATGTGTTTACTGTATTTGATGAGTATTGGCACTTGATGCCATGACTTTTGTTTACGTGAACAACATCAAGGATGCATTGTGTATATTTCAAAACAAGCATACCCTCCTCAGTGGCTCAGCAGGAAGTCTGAAAAGTTGTGATGGAAAGCTGACGGTTCTAATAAGTCGTATGGTTGTACAGTATATGATTTGTCAATACACATGTATACCATCAGCCATATGATTGTACAGTATATGTACACGTGTATACCATCAGCCATATGATTGTACAGTATATGTACACGTGTATACCATCAGCCATATGATTGTACAGTATATGTACACGTGTATACCATCAGAATACATGTGTACACCATCAGCCATATGATTGTACAGTATATGATTTGTCAATACACGTGTATACCATCAGAATACACATGTATACCATCAGCCATATGATTGTACCCATCAGCCATATGGTTGTACAGTATATGATTTGTCAATACACGTGTATACCATCAGCCATATGGTTGTACAATATATGATTTGTCAATACACGTGTATACCATCAGCCATATGGTTGTACAGTATATGATTTGTCATTACACGTGTATACCATCAGCCATATGATTGTACAATATATGATTTGTCATTACACATGTATACCATCAGCCATATGGTTGTACAGTATATGATTTGTCAATACACATGTATACCATCAGAATACACGTGTATACCATCAGCCATATGATTGTACAGTATATGATTTGTCATTACACATGTATACCATCAGCCATATGGTTGTACAATATATGATTTGTCATAGACACATTAAAAGCTGAAATATTGTGGACACTAAATGCCACTACTCTTACCACTCTAATGAAGGGTCACAGAAATGTTTCAGGT